AGACGTTTCTTGTTTTTGAAACAGCTACTGTGATAAGGCATTCTTTGTTTTTTAATGAAGTTTGTTCTCAAATGAGTAGACAATAGTGTTCTGATGGCCCAAGTGCTCTATCTTCAGATACATCACTCTCTTAAGATTTTTATCGCTGTATTAGAACATCATGACCTTCAGCTTGGTGGGAGGAGGAAAGAATTTATTTCAGTCAACAGCTGTAGTCTGTGTACAACTGTAGGGAAAATAGGTCGGAAACCCAAGGTAGGAACCTAAAGGCAAGAACTGAAGTTGAGGCCATAAAGAAGTGTTGCTTACTGACTTGCTTCTACTGCTACCTTATAGATTCCAGGACCATCTGCCCAGGGGTTGTACCATCCATCCACAGTGGGCTGGGCTCTCCCACATCAATCATTAATTAGGAAAATGCCCCATAGGCTTGCCTACAAGTGAATCTTTTTTTTTAAAACTTTTATTGATTCTTTGTGGATTTCATATCATGCATTTTGATCCCACTTATCTCTCTGCCCCCTCCCACCCACCCTCTGCCCTTACAACCTCCCTCATCCCAAACAAACCAATTTAAAATAAACAAAACAAGAAGAATCTTGTTATAGAAGTTGTCATAACTCCCATTGAGACAGTTTACCCTTTAATCTGTTCATCTTTACTTGCAAGTGCTCATTGCTACAAGTCATTGGGAGTCCCGGTGAGAGCCCATTATCAGCTGTGTAGCAGAAACCAGAGGCCTCAGGCCAGACCAATAACTCATGGCAACGAACACTTACAGGTGAATCTTATAGAAGCATACTCTTAATTATCATTTCTTCTCAGATAACTCTAGCTTGTATCAAGTAGGAAAACAAAATGAAACAAACAGAAAACAAAAACAGGACACTGACAAAATTCTACTTTACTTATCATACATAACTATCCTTTTATCTGTTGGCTATCTACTTATAGATTCAATCAACCAATCATAGACTGAAAGTACTCTTCAATGGTATCTTCATTGAACATATGAAGACTTTTTTCTTGTCATTATTCACTAAAGTATAAAAGTCTAGCAACTGTTTGCACATGTTAGATTTGTACTGTATGGAATGCCATGGATATTCTAGAAATAATTTGAAGAGGGTAGGGGAAAGTATGTAGCTGGTTTGTAGATATTATGCCTTTTTATACAACCCATATTAGTGGCTACAGATTTGAGTTCCCAGAGGGGGTCATGCAATCACTCCAAAGAAACAGAGAAATGGCCCCTGAAGTTTCTTTGCATCTAGTTCAAATGTTAACTGCCAATGTACTTGATCTGTTCCAAATTGTCAAAGGCAGTTTGCCCTAATCTATCATCTACTGAAAGACACAGCAAAGCTGGAGTAAAATTCAATATTTCAGAGTCAAAACCTTTTTGAAAAAGCACAGCATCACACTCAAAATCGTTTCTGAGTCTACAAAGGGCATAGAAAGTTTCCTCATTTTTTAAATTTTGCTCAATATTTAAAATTGATAGAATTTTCTAATGTGGTTAATGATTTCTTTCTCAGTCAGATAGGAATTTTAAATGATCACTATAAACAGGAGATTCTTGCCACTGTAAAATCCTTAAAAGTCACTTAAACTACCACCATGGTAACTTGAAATTATGCTGTGATTTTTAAACATAAGCTAAGGATCTTTTTCAAATTCCCTGTTATAGAGGATAACCGCAGAGTGAAGGAGACATGGGAATGGAATCTGCTTGGTATGGGTTCTCTCTGCCTGCTGTTCAGAGCCAGACTGATCACAGACATATCAGAGAGTTAATAATGATTTTTAAGGTACTTATTTGTTAACACTGAAATATAACAAAAATTCATCAAGGTTTATACACAATTTGGTCTAGTAATAATTTGGCATTGAGAAAATATACATATATAAGGTTAGCAATTTTGAATACTTGTATTCTGAATGTTTTATTATTAAAATACTCAAAATTCTATACCTTACATTTTATGTTTTTAAGGAAAGATTTTAGTTCTTCATACTCTTCATTATATAAGTAAAATGTTAATAATTTTATCTTTCAAATCTTGGTATTTTTAACATTTGCATCTCTTTTCCTAAACATCTTTCTCTATATATTATAAAATATTTCTAGATCTCACAAAGACATTGCATAGAATTAAAGCTATATTCAAAGCCCAAAGGGATGCAAGTCTGGAAGCTCGTAATGACTATAATTCTTTTAAGGAAGATACAGACATCATTCTTTCTGAAGCAAGAATAAAATCATGTTCTTTATTCACCGTCAATGGGCTTGCTTCTCCAGAATCCATTACTATCTTTTATCTAATAGCCTATTACAGACTGCAGAGCATGTAAAAGCAGTGATATTGCTCAGGGTATGGAGAATTCATTTTTTATTTCAGTGCCATTATTAAATAACCCTTTCGATTGAAATTCAATACCGGCATGCTACATGATAAGCTATGTTAATAGCTCATGTTATGCAAGTATTGAACAATTATTTGAAACTTAATAGTAAGCCTATAAAAATGTGTAATTGGCCAGATTTTCATCCACAGAAATATTATGCAGTTACCTTACTGTTAGGAGATTAGAATGAGTTCCTTTCAAAAGAACCCATGAAGCAAGGCAAATAACTAAAGAGGGCATTCCTTTTATACAGCTCTATTGGGATGAAAAGCTAGATAGGCTCTCCTTTAAAAAAAACAGACTTGTAATATTAAAGAATGAGATCTAAATAAGAAAACTTAACCATATTTTGTTCCCTAGTTTTATACACACAGGTGTCGCCAAGAAAGCAAGGTTTTCTTTCTATGATATGAAGAATATTTTAAGCTTTAAATATACAGTGAGGCCCATTCTAGTTTACTAACTGCTACATTTTAAAAAGGAAAACAATCCCAAATATAAGAACCAGAGATGGCAAAGGAAAAATAGCCTCTCCTGGCAGGTTTGACATACTTAAAATTATTAGCACTACTGTGCTGTGTTCAGACGGCAATGATTGTGAGTCAGAGGGGAGATGTGGGGAAGGTACAGTTTCCATGGAGAACTTAAAGCACTGGACAGGAGGGGTCCCATGGTTGTGTACTGATAGAACTATAGGGATTAATTCCATGGCATTCCAAATCTCAATAACATCTTTTGTTCTGTAGCTGTAAAAACAAATGAACCACTGATCCAAAACGTAAATCAGAAGAAGCACCTGAAAGTGAGCTGTGATGCCTAAATTTTAGCAAAATTATATATGGAAAGTGGACTAAGGCTTGTGGAGCAGGAAGTCTCACAGCTTAAAGGTTAATTTTTGAGAGGAAACCCAGCTCCTTCCTTCCTCCTCCTCTGCTGCGCTGTGTGTATCCCAGGGCAGTGCCCCCAATGTCAGGTTTTTGGATACAATTACTTCATGCTCTTTGTAGGTCTTCTCTGTGTTGCCTGGATCCAAGAAAGAATCCAAACTAAAGATGCCTAGGAGACAATTTGAATAAGATCCCACATTGTAATCAGAGGTAGCCCCTTTCCCTGACAACCATGGCATCAGATCGCACCTAACTTATAACTCAGACCCTTCCCCTTCTAGGAAGCTCCCCCAGATGTGATCTCAATCTCTTCCCAAATGCATTTGCAATCAGCATCTTTTCTCTAGTTAGAGAACCAGCCCTGTACATAGTCCAAAATATTCCCATCCTCATTCGTGGAAACGAAGTGTGGAAGGTTCTCTCTCCCTGATTACCTATGATTACATGCCACTTGGTCTCAGCAAAGATTCATCTTGATCACTTTTCACTTGCTGGCATATTTTTAATGATCCCAGAGGACAATTTAGTTTGCTTCCTCACAGTGAAATGTCAGGATTAAAGTACCAATCTGTTTGCAAAGATTGCTATGTAAATATTTTATCTGAAAAGGAAGGATCTACTTTAAGTACTCCACCCTGAGTTTCATTGTCATAATATTTCTAATTGAATCCACCTTTGAACAATGTATTTTTAGGAATTGCCATCACCTGCAAAATTGGTAAGAGAAGTTTATGTGCCCCAAAGCGAAGAGGCAGGTTTGAGGTAGGCCTTCTTTAGGTTAAGCCTGAGTACTTCCAGAGATGCTCACTGTGCCCCAGCTTGGGTGATACCTGAGTCCTGCGGCCAGCACTCTCAATTTTGTAGCTGATCAGTGATTATATATATATATATCCACCATGTTAGTAAAATAGAGATTGGACTGAGTATCTATTTTTTTATTTCATAATTTGATTTAATTTTACATATCAGCCACGGATTCCCCTGTCCTCCCTCCTCCTGCTCCCTCCTCCCTCCAGCCCACCCCCCATTCCCATTTCCTCCAGGGCAAGGACTCCCCTGGGGATTCAGCTCAGCCTGGTAGATTCAGTCCAGGCAGGTCCAGTCCCCTCCTCCCAGGCTGAGCAAAGTGTCCCTGCATAGGCCCCAGGTTCCAAACAGCCAGCTCATGCACTAAGAACAGGTCCAGGTCCCACTGCCTGGATGCCTCCCAAACAGATCAAGCTAATCAACTGTCTCACTTATCCAGAGGGCCTGATCCATTTGGGGGCTCCTCAGCTATTGGTTCTATATTTTTATTTGTTGAACCTGACAACTAATTTTGGAGCCTGAAAAAAACTTGAAAATGTTCTTTCTTCATCTTTATGATTTTGAGGTCTGGTGTTCATATTGCTTAATAATTCACTTAAACTATAAACTAGGGGCAGCTGAATCTCTATAGTGTATGAAGGAGACACTGAGGAAATGGAGTCCTAATTCCCAGCTAGTTTTGCTGCCTTCCACCAACTGACCAGGAGCAACGTGCTTGCATGTCTGTTTGCTTTTTCTCACTGGAAGTCTAGGGATGACAAGAATCAGCATACAGTAGTATTTTGGGGAAGGTCTGTATTTAAAACTCTTTAGATTTTCTTATTTAAAAAAAGCTTGTAACATTTTTATTATTGCACCTAACTTTCTCATTTCTATTCAAATGTGTTTTGGGTGTAGAAGAAAAAAGGAGCCATGCCACTTGTTTTAAGCCAGTATAGAGAACAGTCACCTAATGGGCGGCAGTCACACCGCAGGAATGCGGCCATTTTCTTCATGTCAGGAAAAAGTCAAGACCCCAAAGCATTGGAGAACACATGATCAGAGTAGACATAGAAGGTAAGGGAGAGTTACACTTTTCTGAGTAATTCAAAAAAGCAGGAAGACTTACAGAACCAGAGCTCTTTGGCAGAGCTCTTGTAGAATATTATGCCAAGAGTGGTGGGAATTATAGGAGAGAAAAAAGAAACCTGTATTGCCTTATTAAAAAACTATTTTATCTATCCTTTAGCCAGGTCCCTTGGCTAGGTTGTTTACCCAATCCAACTGGAATGATATTAGGTCTCCACCCAGGCCAGAGTTTCTATTCTCCCTTAATGGGCCCTTACTTCACAGTGCTTGCTACTCAAGTGTAAAGACCCAAGTTCAGATCCCCAACAACTATGTAAATATCTGGCACATATCTGTAATCCCAGCTTTGGGAGGATGGGGTGGGTGGGAAGATGTAGGATTGTGGCTAGCCAGTCTAGCCAATCAGTGAGCTCCTAATTCAGTGAGAGTCCTTGTCTCAAAAAATAGACGGTGTTGTGATTTCAATGACAATGGTTCCATAGGTTTTGTATGTTTGAATACTTGGTCCCTAATTTGTGGAACTGTTTGGGAAAAGTTAGGAGGAGTTTTGGCTTGGGTGGTGGGCAAGGTGTCACAGCAGAAATTGGTTTACAGGTTCCAAAAGACTCATTTCATAACCCGTGTGCTTTCTCTCTCTCTCTCTCTCTCTCTCTCTCTCTCTCTCTCTCTCTCTCTCTCTCTCTCTCTCTCCTCGCTCTCTCCTACTTGCAGTTCAAGATTTGAGATCTCAGCTGTTTCTGCTGCCATGTCTTTGTTGCACCATTGTGGGCTTAACCCTTAGAAAACTTAAGTCCAATTAAATGCTTTCTTTTGTAACTTGCCCTAGTCATGGTATTTTGTCACAGCAATAGAAGAGTAACTAAGATAACGGAGAGTAATAGAGAAAGTCACCTGACACCAACCTGATGTGTAGTACCTTCATGCACACACATTGGCACATAGACACATGCATACACACATGTTCATATATGGCACACATACACACACACACACAATTTTAAGTGTTTCGAATTTCTTTAAGTCCTGTCTGAAAATATGCACAAATGGTGTCACATTACTAATGATAATTTTAATTTCATGTAGTATTCCCTCAATACCTAATGGTGTTGACCTACTCTTTAGATTTTCCCATTAATTTTTTATAAATCTCAGTCATATATGCTTTTGTAAAATCTCCCTTAGTTTAAATCTCTGACCTGCTACTCTTCTCATCTTCTGACCATGGAGCAATTTAACAGTATTTATCACCCTGTCATTGCAACTTCTGACATCCTTGAGATTGTCTTCTTTTTTTTTCTTGATTCTTGGTGTTAATTTCCTTTGATTCTCTAGTGGTATATGTGCATGGGTATAAATTTCTACTCTATTTAGCTTAGTTCTTATTACATTGGTACCAAGCATATTCTTGTCATTGATGGGTTATTGTTCTGGTATTCATGTTTCACATTTTTCTTATAATTTATCTTTGTGGGACACAAACCACTTCCCATAAGCCTATTCTCCTCTCCTTGCTTCCCTGTTCTTTCTTATTTTTCCTTTCTCTCTCCTCCTTTTTAATGTTCCCTCCTTCCCTCCCTCCCTCCCTTCCTTCCTATAAAAATATTGTTAATAATAATAATAAAAATCTTACAAAAGGAAAGATAAGCCAATCAATGAATTGGTAGATGATTTGACAAGATACTTCTCAAAAGACGAAATATGAATGGCCAATGAATAAATAAAATGATGTTGAAACTTTTTACTATAATACCAAACAAACAAAAACTTAAAAGGACAATGCTGCCAAGAAACTGCATTGAAATGAGCACACATTGTTGGTAGAAAACACTACGATTCCTTAAAAAGTACACACACACACACACACACACACACACACACACATATATATATATATGTATGTATATGTATGTATATGTATATATCCATGTTCAGATGATCCAAGCACACAGCCCATTACATCATTACATATCGGGGAGAAATAACATTAACATGTATGTGTTTATTGCAGTCCTATACACAATAATGAAACAGTGGAATAAGCTTAGGTTCCCTTAAATTGAAGAATGGATAAAGAAAATAAGGTATATGTACAAAATGAAGCGTTATTCACCATGAAGAAGAACAAGTTATGTCAGTGGAAGGAAAATATTGTGTCAAACAAAAGAACCCATACGCCACAACATTAAGCTGCATATGTCTTCATTCCTATGTTGAAATTAGGTTAAAAATAAAACAAGAACTAACAAGAAAAGATAATCTTAATATGATAGAGGGTGTATTAGATCAGAAAGAGGAATTGAATCAGGGCATGGAGAAAGGAGAATAAGAGAATATATTAGAGAAGGTGGGTGTATATGAAATATGAAATATGCATGTGGGGAAAAGTCACAGTGAAATATGTTAATAGCATAATTGATATGTATTAAAATCATAAATCTTAGTTATTAAAAAATAGAGTTTCAAGCCCAGTGATTAACCTGAGGATAAAAAGATTAATAAGTTAAAAAGGGGAAAAAAATCACATAGAAAGCTGTTTTTCATTCCACAATGTGCTATACAATTGTGTACAAATATATTCATTTATTTAGTATTACATGGAATATATTCAAGGTAGAATTCAACACATGTGAAATGAAGACAGGCAACAATATCAATAGCAATGAAAATATTGATATTATCTAATCCTCTAAGCATATGAAGGAGAGAGGCTGGAAGGGAAACAAGCCACAGAAGAAAAATTGAGGGGATATGATGGAGCCCCCCTGCTACATTGTGCACCATTTTTAAGTGAACATTCCAGTCTCTATGCTATATTTTTGATATGAGATATCTTTAAGATTTGAGTGAAACGTAACTGAATTTAAAGGAGTAATGTTTAAAAAAAAATCAAAACTAAGAATTTAGAAGAGAACTATTTCAGTTATGTCAAAATCCAGTGGTTGGCAATTATACATATGAATGGAAACACTGAGCTAGTAGATCCCAGACAGACAGAAATTCTTGATGGCTTGTACATACAGCCCACAGCTTCCTGTCTCTGTTACTTTATAAGCTAGCCCAATTTCCCAGAATGCGCTTTCCTCCTGTAGTCCTAAAGCTTCTTAGTATCCTATGGAATCATCTATTTTTTTTCTGTATCATGTTTGTTCTTCTCTCATAGAGATGGCTGCTTTACAGCTATGCTTTCTGCAAACATGCCATTAATCATATATGCCAAGCACTATTTTAATTATTTCTTGGCATGTTTCTTAACCTCCTAGGAGGCAGAGACCATATGATATTCATCTCTGTGTTTGGTGTTCTAGGTAAATGTGAGGTAGGGTTGAACATAGCAGGACCATTGTCCATTAAGTAAGAAATGCCTATTTGGATTATTTTTTTTTCCTATCATTTGTAGTATTCTCAATCATAAAGCATATTTAAATTCTTTAATAAATGGTAAGACTCTGAAGAACTGAACAATTTGATCTTACAAGAATTGAAAGATACTAATTACCTGGTACCTATGTGCTCTAGTATTACTGTGTAACTTTTGTTATTGTGTCCAAAGTCCAGATGGATTTTTATCAGCTCAGTAAAGGCTGTGGATGATCTGATTTTTATTTAATTTAGTTAACTATTGTAATCTTACAAAAAGCGGAATGACAAAATTGGTGTGGATATTTATTTATGACATTTTGGTGCTTAATAAATTTAATTGTAATAAAACCGCAATGTCCTCCTTATGATCTGACCCATAATTTTTGTTGACAGCTGATGTTATAAAGTCACCAAATCTTCTGAGGCGCAGAAACTTGGTTGTAGAGTCTTCTGAGATCTGGAAACTTTACTTGACCCAGGCAAGTTTTTATTTACAACAAAAATATAATTCTGATGGATTTTAGTCCCAAATACAACTCAGGAATCTCTGTATTGGAACCTTGCTTATTTTTAATAACCATGGTACTAGAGCAAGTTTTAGTTGATGAGAGAGCTGTAGTCTTCAGCATTTTCTGAAAAGGCACATTTACATAACTCCATGGAGGATAGTACAGGATGAAGTGTGGCCAGTTATTAAGCAATTGCACATCCGATACTGTTCTGGGTGCATGACATCTCAATTTCTAGGTTTTCTATGAAATGTGTGTTATGGCTACCCTCCTTACTAAGTCTAGCACCTGTGGGAGGCATCTGCATTATGATCTTCTGTAGACTCTGTGTGGGATGGGCACTTAGCCCTTGGGAGTTTCCTGACAGTAAACTTCCTTGCATGGAATAACTCATGATTCCAGTATTGCTGTTAAATCTAAACTGAGTGAAAGCCCACCAAAGCGCCAGCCATGCTGTCATCCAAGATACGACCAAAAGGCTAAGCTTGCCAAAGTAAAAGGCAAGTGTCTGCAGCGTATTCCACAATACTTAAGCCAGTGAAATGTTTTGTCTTTGAGATGTGTGTCTTGATTTCAAATAATGAATTCCTGGGGATTTAATCTTGACACAACTTTTCTAGTGAGCTGAAAAGTTCTTCCTGTGGTCGCATATTCTTTTGTGCCTAATTATATCACTAATTGGCTCATTTCATGGAAATAACTTTCCTAGGAAGGCCACTTATAAGGTGGGTATAAAAAGACACCATAATAATCTTCACAGCACAAGTTGGTTCTTTTTCAATGAAATATTTTTTTTAGTGTCTTTTTCTTACAGCCAGCCAGCAAGCTCTGTAGAGCTAGAAGATGATAGATCAATAACTTTAGCTTCAAGCAAAGAGAAATTTGGTCATCAGCATAAAACTTAGTAAAGTGTGGAGTCTGGAACCAGGAAGCTTAAAATACAGTTTTCCTCTACCGAAGACAGTTATGCTAAATATATTCATTTAATTTTCTAAGCATGTTATTAATGCTTTCAAGTAAAATCATACACCCTGTATAGTTTTAGAGAAAATAATATAGAGGAGTAGGTTATTGATTTTAATAGTCTTCTAGTGAAGAGCTGAAAAATTCTTTTTAGACATATATAGCAACTCAAGAGCTTATTGTAATCTCTTCATTTTTTAGTAGTTATATAGATCATTAACATGAGCCCATCTTGAGTTTACTTTTTCAAATACAGTTCACCCAAAAAATAAGGTGTATCATTGAAGAAATAATTACATAGACTTGTGTGTATGTATTCAGTGTTTATATTCTATTCTCAGAATTGTAATATTCACAGACATGTGAACATTGATTATCCATCAATGTAGTGGGCATTAATTAAATGCCCAATGAATGTAAAACACTATTCTAGGCAATTAGAATAGCTGGGAGTCTCTTTAATTAAGAAGCATGCATTATAACCAAAGAAAAAAAGATACTAAAACAAAAACAAAAACAGATACTAAAAAAACGTACAAAGAATGAGTAGCACACATGATACATTGGTATATAAGTACTGTTGAAAATTCATCATGATAAGGAGAATTAGGAAGGATTTCTCAATAGGTTTCATTGAGTGGGTGAAATATGAAGAAGCAGGAGCCGCTTGCTTGGAGATCACTGAAGGGGAATGATACACACTGCAAACAGACACTACCAGTGCAAAAGCTACTGTCAACAGAACACGGATTGGGACCGTGTTACCTTTAGGTTACCTTTCCTAAAATCTCTCTCACGTCCCTCCTGCTCTCAAGTGGTCAACCTTTTTCTCTTTGATTATTATTGCTACATTCACATATGTATGTATGTGTACTCAGAAGTATACAATTGCAACCTGCTGATGCCATTTTTATTGTTTGTATATATCTGGTTTGGGGGATGATCATTCTGCATTGGAAAAACCAACACAGGCCTCAACCTAGGGATCGGCTAATTCCCTTTCTCCCAGCAGTCGTTAATTTCCTGGATTTCTTTGCCTAATGGTAGGACCCTGTGAAATTTTCCCCTTCCATATTAACTTGGGAAGAAAACAATTAACAGTCCTACCCAACTGCACTATAGGTCATGGTAATCACTGGCATAGCAAAGTATAGATGAAGATGCAAGAAGTTCTCGTTGGTTGTTGTTTTTTTTACTCTTAGCTCTTTTCTCTTTAGGGAGCCTGCCACCCAATTCCCAAATAAATCACACAGAAGCTTATTTTTACTCATAAGTGCCCAGCCTTACCTTGACTTGCTTCTTGCTAGCTTATCTTAAAATTATCCCATCTATCTTGCCTCCAGGTTTTTACCTTTCCCTATTTCTATATATCTTTTCTTTCCTTCTTATTCTTATTCTTATTTCCTTATTCTTGTTCTCATTCTGTGTCTGGCAGAGGCAGATAGAACTCTGAATTTGAGGGCAGCTGCTCTACAGAGCGAATTCTAGGACAGCCAGGGCTACACATAGAAACATTGTGTTAAAAAACAAACAAATAAATAATGAAAAGAAGGAAGGAAAGAATGAAATGGCTACTTGCTTTCTTTAATATCTCTCCATTACAATTATAAGTCATGATTTCTTATAAATATATACCTTATTTTTAATATTTAAAAGAGAATAAATGAATACAAAAATCAGGTAATTCCATTAAATTATATAGCATTTTCCTACAGGAAACAAGGTTTTCTTTATTTTTCTTTGAAGACAAGGAGTCAGGTAGTGTCCTAAAAATTGGTCTCAGACTTTTATCATAGTGAACTTCCCAAATTACTTTGTGTCTGTCAATATCTTCTTTATAGAACTTTCTTTGAAGTTGATACTGTGGGAGAAAATAGAACAGCATACCAGGATTTTACAAGTGATGGAGGCAACTCCAATGAGAGTGAAAGCAATCCTGATTTCCTATTAAGAAAACACTGATTATTGGCACTAGGAGGACAGAAGTCCAATTCTCTTTAAGTAATTAAATTTCTACATCTTATGTATTCTCATCCCTCCTGAAGATCTGGTATATTTTCTTTTCACTGTAAATTGGATCCTAGCAAAGGTCAGTTAGAGTTCACAGGGAATCATTTCCTTGCCAACTAGACAACGAGAATGAAGTATTTAATTGAAATCAAATCTAAAGAACATGCAATAAAAATACAGAACTGCTTCATTTCAAAAACACTTCATTAAGTGTACTGACTTTGGTTCTGTTTGAGAAGAAAGGTTTTCTATTTCTTTAAGTATGTCAATAACCAAGTTGAAGGTGATAAGGGATACATGCATGTTCCAGGCTGGTTAGCCGATTACCTCTGTTTGTCTTGCTTGTGGAACATGAACGCAGATATGAGGAGAGAATCCCTTTGTAGATGCATCTGCATCCATAGTACTGCTGAAACCACAGCTAATGTTGCAATATTATCTGCCTACACACTTGTTTCTCTCGGCTTTGTAGATAGGACTTTCTATCTGAATGTACATCAAAAGGATACAATGCTTAGAACTCAAATCCCTTGTGTAAAGACATAAACCTTTTTGATTATGTAATATTTCCACAAAACCATAGCTGCCCTCTTTCCTGTAATCCTTAATTTGTGAGTTTGAAAGAGGCAGCCTACCAGTTGAAATAGATTTCCAATCAAGTTATTTATCTGTTAAAACAAAGAACGACCCGGGCGGTGGTGGCGCATGCCTTTAATCCCAGCACTCGGGAGGCAGAGGCAGGCAGATCTCTGTGAGTTCGAGGCCAGCCTGGTCTCCAAAGTGAGTTCCAGGAAAGGCGCAAAGCTACACAGAGAAACCCTGTCTCAAAAAACCAAAGGAAAAAAAAAAACAAAGAACGAAGTATAGCAGGAGACAGACTTCAGTGGTAGGACACTTAGCATACTGCAGAGATGACTCCCAGTAAGGCACAAGATTGACTGGGCAGAGGTGAGGCACACCTTTAATCCCAGCACTCTGGAGGCAGGGGCAGGTGGATCTCTGTGAGTTAGAAGCCAGCTTAGTCTACAGAGTGAGATCCAGGATAGCCAGGCCTATACAGGGAAACCCTGTCTTGAAAAAGCAAACGAACAAACAAACAAACAAACAAAACAAAAACCAAACAACAGAAAAACAAATTAAGCATTAATCATTTTACAATACCAAATATTTGCTAGTAAATAAACCTTTAAATAATATGGAGGAATTAAAACCTGCAAAAATAGCATATGTATCTTTTAGACTGTACCCACATGGAATTCTCCTTCTTGCTCAAGACCCATGTGCTATGGAGTGTAAAATCTCCATCCTTCTGTTCCATTTAGAGCTTGAAGAATTTGTAGATTTCTGTTCAGCAGTTTGAACTCTTATTATGAAGGAAATGTGATAAAGTGATAAGAATGAAAAACATGCTCTTAAGACCAATGCTATGGTGGAAAGGTTTAAATTTAATGTTTTTAAAAATTAGTTTGTTAGTTTGGTTTTTATTTATTTTATGAAGAAAACATTACAGAAGCCAAATAAAAAATACAAATATAAATCTATTTTTATCAAATTTGCATTATAGAAGTGAAGATTTCTTCACTATCCTATTGTAAGGCTTACTGTGTATTTAGTATCTATTCAACGAGATATTTCTTGTCTTTTTTCTGTCTGTAAAGCTTCCTTGAACTGTTACTCTATCTCAAACTTTCCCCTCTAGGACCATAAGAAAAATCTCATTCTGTTGCTTGAGCCATTTAATGTGTTGTCTGTTTTTACTGAGTACATCTTGTCAAATGATGTTGCCTTTGGAAAAATAAAGTAAAAGCATTTGGGCCTGACCTAGTAATTTGCCTTGGGTCCTGAAAACAGTTGTTCAGTGTTTGTGAACATGGGTTAAAATGAATAATTTATTAGTGGAAATAATAACTGTATACTTTAGATATTTAAGAAATTGTAGAAAAAATACTTCAAGAGACTATAGTAGCTATAGTTACTGACAATCCACTTGTTTGTGCTTTAATTTAAT